GAAGAGGCAAACAAAGCCAGCCTTTCTGGAGGAAAAACACATCTCTGTCTTTTATGCAATAAACCAGCAAACTGCTGCCGTACACTAAAATCAATACCCGGAGAGACACGCTTATGTTGTGATTGCCAACATAAGTGCTTCATTTTAATTAAAAAAAAAAACAAACCAAAAAAACTCAACCCAGGCCTTGCGTGATGAACGTCGTTAGAGAGCTGCTATCAATGCGAGGAGACGAAGGCATCCTGTAGCTGCTGGGTTCGGGGGGGTCCGGTGCCACCGTGTCACCCGGGAGGGGTGCTGACAGTCTCAGCACCTCCCCGCACCCCGGTCCGGGGTGAAGACGTAAGCCAAAGGGTTAAAAAGGAGGATGGGACATTTGGGGTCCCTGCCTCACCCAGCCTCCCCCTCCCCGCCCCGTTCTCCCCCCCCCCAGGCTCAGGTGCAAAGCAGGAGTCGGCATCCACTGGGCTGAGCTCAGCCTGTCCTTCCTAAAATGGCGGAAATCTGGATATTGACCAAAACCCATCCCTCCAATCTGTTTCAGGGGCTTTTTCGGACTAGCCTGGAACTAGAGAGACCTCACGCAGCCCCTTCTCTCCTCCAGCACCTCAGTTTCCCTTCTCAGTCCTTTTTTCCCCTGTTTATTCAGGAATCATCTCTAGGGTCAGCAAGAGACCGCTCCAGCCTGAAATGGGGCTTCTGCTGCAGAGTGAAAACTGTCGAAAAAACAGTTGTGCCCTCAAAATACCCTCGATGCCGCTGGCAGAGAGAACAGGAGCCCACTTGCCCTGTGGCATTGCATTTTAACGGCCCAGCAAGCATCGCGCCTGCAGCCCAGCCCTGCGGTGTTGCACCTCGAAGCCAGCAAGCACGTGCCCTGCGCCGAATCCTAAGGGTCTGCCCGCCTGGCAGAGCCCTGGTCCCGCCCTGTAACCCAGCGCGGGAGGAACTGGTGCTTGGGAAGATAACAATGTTGAGCTGAATCCCTCGTGACTGCGAGCATCCGGGGCTTCCAGCTCAAGGCAGCCTGGAAGCCGACGCATTAGGTGATAACAATTGGCTTCGGAGATTAAGAAACTCGATTTTTTCTTTGGAACTTCACCCAGAGCAAAGTTTTGATTTGCCAATAGAAAAATCAACATAAAAGCAAGTATATACTCACCAATCAAAGGAATCTAAGGAACTCTGCTCAAGCGGGTGCTGCCCAGGTTTGGGTTAGGAGCGGGGTCAGCACTGCACCTGCATCCGCGCTCATCTTCGGGGCTGGTATCGCAGCCCACGGCCGGACTCCTCTACTAGAGCTCGTGCGGTTCTCACTGCACACACTGGGCTCAGCTTGCAGGGCCGTGGACCTTTATAAGCTGTTGTGAATCCAGGCCTTAGTATTTTCCTTAAAAATACAAGGGAAAAAAAAAAAAAACCACGACAGTAAGTGTTACAGTAATTACGAGGACGTTTTAACACATGTCTCAATTTGCATTAATTAAATCAACAGGGAAGCTTCAATTGAGTAAATGAGGTTTTTTCTAAGCAGCAGCAAATGCTGCGGCAGGCCGGAGCTGGTAACTCCGGTTTGCTGCATGCATGTGTGGTGGGATGGGGAGGGATCTGCCGGCTGGAAGGGGCTTCCCAGGAGGGAGGGAGCCGAAGGCAGGACGAGCTGGGGGTGGGGAAGACGAGAAGAAGACTCTCGGCTCTAAGATACTGAGAGCTCCAAGCGGGGTCTGTGCTGACACTGTCGGATTTCAGCCCCGAGCCCGGAGAGTGGAAAGCTTTGAAGCCGAAGCCGGTGGGAGAGCGGAGGTTGCTCTGCGGAGATAAGCCGTGGGTAAGAGGAATGCGTCCATTCATACCCCAGCCATGCTGCAAGCACAGCTGTGAGGAGAATATAAATGGGCAGCTTTTTTTTTTTTTTTTTATTTTTAAAGCCACCGGTTTGAATATTAAAGCAGATCAGACACATTGAAATGCTTGGCTGGAAGTGAACTCTTTCCAATGCACAACCCTCCAAGGCAGGGGACGGTTGGGCTGCCAACCTGCCGGCGGGGGGCCCCGG